GCAAACATAGATGAAGTATTGTCAAAACAGACGGACAGTCATGTAAATTTATATATATATTCATAAATAAACCATTTACAATTTCATCCTCACCAACATATCTGTCATTAACTTAATTATACTTTTATTAAAGTGCATATTACCTACATCCTTCTGTTTTATGTTTCGTATGTTTTATATAATTATATAAAATAGTTTGATAAAGTAGGGCCCATACATTATAATTGCTGAACATTTTTTCTTGATGATTACAGTAACACATTTTACATACAGTTGTCATCGCGTTAATTACGTGGTTATGAAAATTGCTGTTTGTTGCATTTTGTAGCAGAGATTACGTAACCGAGTTTTTCAAAAACTGATAAGCCTGATATGGAATATTTTCACAAAATGGTGCAACAAATTATTAATTTGATCTCAAAAGATCTACAAAAGATTTTTGACATTATAAGATGAAATACTGGAACTACTTTCAGTCACATGGTACAATGGCGGCCTCCATGTGCAACCTTTGTGATAAAACCGATAAAGATATTTCCTTTGTACAGTAAAGGTAAGACTGACAGTGATACATTGACAAAAGTCAATTTCCTTTCTAAATAAGGCATAAACAATTTTTGCAGTACCTTACTTTCTCGAGAACGAATAGTGTCCTATAATTAGGGCAAATGTTTCCAGAAATATTTGAGCATATTTTCAATAACTCTTAAAAATCAAATGAAAGGCAAATGGCAATACCTGCATTTTTAAGAATGCATGTTAACTTAATTAGATATAAATCACTATCAATCTAGCAGCGAATACATGTATTACGTCTTGGTTGCTATTTTTGAATTTGTTTGTTGAGAAAAGGATATTTTTCCTTGTACTTGACTGCAGTATCAACGACCTTATGTTCTAGAAAAAGATATTTTCTTGTCATCAACGAAAAATTCTTTGTTAAACCTTTAATATGTTGGGTTTCTTAAAGAAACTTGTATAACTCCAATATTTAGAATTGTAGAATTATAGAATTGGTCATTATCGCAGTATAAGCAAGATCACAAGGGCCCGATGACAACAAAATAATTGCATTTGAATAAATAGCTTAAGTATTTTAAGAATTTGGTATTTCAATTCCGAGAACAGAGCAGTGCTACCATAATGTCATTGAACAGAAAGGGATCGATTATATCTTTACACAACTGACTAAACAAAGGTAGAACATTTGAATGATGTGTAAAAGATTCCGCCTTCTTTGTTAATTTTCACCGTTATGCACGGCTTGTCTTCAAAAGCCGAATGCGCTTCATATTGCTATTCTTGCTTTAGAACAAATTCAATGAAATCAGGATTGGAAACAGCCAAAAAAGTACTATATATGTGTAGGAATACAAATTTCACGATTTCTTTAAAGACTGGATTTATCGTCAGTCTTATATCAATACATAACGTGATTATTAATAATAGGAATGTTTTAATAAAACTTAACATGTATCAACAACCAGTAAGGGCCTTGTCAAATTGCACGTTTGTTAGCCTAGCCTGACCAAATCCAAATAAATTTCTGTTCCAGAACATTGAAAGAAAAAGAAACAAGAAAATGAATAAAAACATTTTGTCAATATTGTTACAATGTAGCTTGCTTAAATATTAAATAGACGTAGTATCAGTTACAAATCTTAGAATTCGATATTCTACATGTACATGGCTACTTAATTTAAAATGCAATCCGTTTTATATCACTTACATTTAAAGGTACACGGTAAGTATTAATGAAAGATTTTTCAAAACGCTTAACTTATAAAACGAGATTACATGTGTATCTTGACGATAACATAAAAAAAGAAACTATATTTGACAAACCGCTAATAACTCTGTAACGTGTTGCTTGATTATAAAGTCTGTGAAAATGATCTTAACGATAGGTGAAAACATTTGGTCTAATTTATTACTGGAACCGACAGTTTCCAGAAGAAATGTCAATGTATTTCGATGTATTTCACTTCTTGTTTTTATAAAAAATAAACATCAAGGTTTTTGAAAGAATATAGTGTCACAACATTTCATGTATATAATCGCTTTAAGTACTATAAATTACATATATAGTCAAACGTTAGGTTGAAGGCAATATAAATAAAAATAAATCATACATGACCTTTATAGACAAGTGGTCATTATTCGGAGTTCACTCTGTTGTTTTTTATGAATGAAGGTTTGTGAAATATTAGTCTTTATTTACACGGTGGTCTTTAATCGGAGCTGGTCTTTAACACAAATTTTACTGTAATGGCCTGTAGTTTATCTCATGCTAAAATACGTTTTATGAATTTCAGCATGGAAGTAACTGTCAAGCAGTGAAAAAATAACATTAACATTACTGCTACATTTTATTTTGTTCTTGCATATCATTCATAACACTTGAGGAAATAAAAAATCAACAGTTACATTTTTATATACAATATCATTTCTTTAAAATAAATATACCACAACGAAATAAAATGACTAAAATCACACTTCTGTAAATATCTATGACATTTTACACACAGAATGGGAATGTTGAACATTGGTTCGTAACACCATGTATAAAATATATATAAATAAACACACAATAATTTGATAACAACAAGACTGAATAAAACAACATAATCATATGATATAAATACGTAAACTTCCTGTATAACAAATGAATGTAACGGAATTTACAATAGCATACTATAACAATTGATATCACAAACTTATAAATAAGAAATAGCATATGTTCATCTTTATTTCCCATTCAATCTTAACAGTATTGTTTTAGCTTTGCAATTGTATTCATCCACAGTTAAAACATTGATAAGCCCTTTGCCTACTGTTTGCTAAAGGGTTTTGCCTTGCAATGTTTTTGATACAGTCCAAAGTTCAAACAGTTCAAATTTAAAAGAATTGATATATAAAAATACAGTAGAACACGAATTACCAAATAGCATAGCCAGAGTGTACAGACGTGCAGGCTGGCTTAGGTCTTCACATCTGAGAAACGCAAGGTTCCAGTTGATAAAGCGTTAACAGTTAACTTGTTTTTATATCATAAAATAGTATACACTGTACTTGTCATTCACGAAGGAGAATAAAGTAATACATATCCAGAGCTGAGGCATTGAATTATCTGGATAATGAGATAGATAGATAGATATATTGAATATGATACTTTAACCACAATGATCTAAAAGCACACACTCTCAAACATTCTGTTTTTCATTTGTTTCGTTACTCTATACAAATACATGTATCATGAATAAGATATATGTGAAACCTATATCGATATATTAAGAGTAAAATAATAAAAATAACTTCCAATTCATTTGCTAATTCTTGAGCACGATTCAGTGCACAACCATAGATAAAGTTTATACCCCGGTCACATATTCACGGAATACGCCCACGGAAGAGCCACGGATTAATTCCGGCATCGTCCGTAGCTACCCGTACTGGTCAGTAGCTCTCCGTATTGTAACCGTAATCAATCGTAGTTGTCCTTGTATATCCGTAGCGATCCTTGACAATTTTTGAACATGCACAAAAATTTGCTACGGAAAAATCAACCGTAGCGTATCCGTACTAGTCCGTATTAATCCGTACTGATACGTACTGGTCCGTACGAAAACCGTACTAGTCCGTATTGATTCGTAGTCCACCAACTTGTCAAGGATTTCCACGGTTTTGTACGGAGAACTACGTATTTGTACGGTTACCCTACGTATAAGCTACGGTTTTAATACGGATTAATACGGCATTGTCACGGAAAGCCACGATCGTAATACGTTGTACTACGGAGAGGCAAGGATTAGCACGGTCTTATACGGTTTATTGCGTTGCAACACGAAACGGTACGGAATGGTACGGTCCACCACTGTTTAGTACGGATGAATTAAGTATCATGTACTTTTTCAAGGGTATAAATACTACCTTCTTGTTAAAAAACAGACATATTTGCGGAAACATTTAATAAATGATAATTGCCATTTACTGGCTGCAACTTTATATTGAAATGGCTCAGAATGCGGAGGCAGTGGTCGAGCTGCTTGATGACATACATAGAAGTAAATTTATATTAATATCGTACTACAATTCATAAGTAATAGAATAACATTTAATGTTACATATTTTACAAACATTGGATCGTGAAATAAGAGTAAATATGTACATAAAACGAAGTGTCTCATAAGCCTCGGAAGCTGGCCCTTGAGTGATAATAAGATTAATTAACAAGCTTTTTACATATTTCTAAAACATAAACATCACGATAATTATTGTAATTGTAAGATGAACAGCAAATCTTAAAATTAAAAGAGAAGCAGTATTGATCAACATTTTTCATTAATGATTACTAGTCCATATCTAATCAGGTAAGAGAAGACAGACGAGATGGTGGACTAGAGATGGGCTTTTACGAAGACCGCTTCATGTTGTAGTATGAGGCTCTCATGGCCGAACTTGTTGAGGATCCAGGGTCCTTCAAGAAATTCACTTTAATCGGACCTGATGTGTCTCGGGGGTCGGACTCGATTAGGCCGAGTCCTCTCCTACAAATCATTGAACTCTGCAATTCGTTTTATATGTGTTCTTTTCTTTTGAGGCATTTTGAAAATGAGCAAGCAAGAGGTTGTGGACGGATGTATTAGGTCCGTATAGATCCGTGGCAATTCGTTCTTCTCCGTATCAATACGTTCTTCTCCGTATCAGACCGTACTTATTCGTACTAACCCGTGCTTATACCGTAGCAGACCGTAGTGTATCCGTAGTGCGTCCGTCCTGATTCGTGTCGCTCCGTATCGAACCGTGTCGGTCCGTAACAATCCGTGTCTCTCCGGGGGCTTTTGGTGGTAAATCCGTCGGACTCCGTACTCATACCGTTGTGTGTCCGTACTGGAACCGTAGCGGACTACGAAATTTCACATTTCCGTAGTAATCCGTGAACGATTAGACCGTAGCTCTTCCGTGGCATTATCCGTGAATATGTGACCGGGGCATTACAAACCCTTTATGTTTTATGTCATTTATCTAATATATTCTACCAGAAAGGCTTAACACTCAGATATGAAAAAGAAAAACGAAAAGCAGTAATCTAAAAATAGCTACCTTACATATGTCTATCTATAAGCATACCTTGCATTTGCATGAAAATTAAATTAGATATATTTGTAAATAAATATGAGGTGCTTTAAACATGTTAAACAACAAAAATGTACGGAAAATGCAGCCATTGCCTGTAAACCTCCTTAATTTCATTTTTTTTAAATAAAGTAGTCTCAATTTTTTATTTTGGTTGGGTCTTAACGTTGCTCAGGTGCCCCATTTGTGCATTTTTGTCATGCACTAGTGGACATCTAAGTAGAACAACCGATATTACGTAAGCTAGCTTGACAAAATCAGTCTCGAATAAAACAGATGTGAATAAGTCTCGAATAAAATAGATGTGAGTCAATCTTGAATAAAATAGCTGTGAACCAGTCTTAATAAAACAGCTGTGATTAAAAATAAATGGTACAAAAGCATATCGTGCTGCTTGGTCTGCTACTGTAATATATCGCACTAAATCATTTTGGCATCGTTTTAAAAGAGGCAAAGTTGCAAGACATGCATAATTATCAATTTGAGTTACGTCCCTTGGTTAAGCATGGCATGTTAATTTTGGTGGTGGAAAAGGTTAACTATATTAAGTACAAAGCATTTGGAGGTTTCGTGTTGCTGTATTGTCACAACAATTCAAGGACAATTTAAGGACAGAAAGTATCTTTTTTTGCAATTTCATAAATTTTTTTGCAGGTATACTTGCTTAAGGAGATGTAGTGGGATAAAAATATGCCCTTCAATAACAGTAAGAGATGTAATTGGGCTTCCGAGATCAAACAAATGTTATTTGAGAACGGCTTTGAGGGGAAATAGGTAATTCATATGTAATTCGTTAAGATATCCTCAAAGCAAACTCAAAACACAGTAATATCGCCAGAAAACAACGTTTTTGTACTTATTATTTAAAGAATAAAATCATGTTATTAATTAAATGCGCTCAGCGTGCACTTTTCCGCTGTTGTAGATATAATGATGTGTGTCAACAATATTTTGTTCAATTGGAATGATGGAAGAAAAAATTTGAGTGACCTATCCCAATTATGGGGAACGTAAATGATCCGTTCCACGTGATGCATTGAATATAATTAGCCACTGGCCTTATAAATGAATTAATATGTTGTTGTAATCATGACTTCATAATTATCGATTAGAGTTAAAGAAAAAAGAATTGTTTTTATTCTTTATATTAAAAAAACCAACATATTATTTTTGAATAAATGACATTTGTGCAACGTTTTGCTTGAAACCTAAAACTTAATGTACTGATCATCAGCATGTTCATAACCAGGTTATTTTGGGAAATTGAAACATTTATTTTGATATAAATTTCAAGGTGAACTGAAATAAGAAGCACAAATCGTAGGCTTATTCCAGTTTTGATTTCTTTAACTATAAATTAATGTAAAATTATCTTACAACATGTTATGCATAACATCAAAGACTAGAAAAATGTATCACAAAGATATTGTGCGCTTGTTTAGAGTCCATATTACTTGGACGAGCGGCTTGTCAATGTCTACGTTCATTTTATACATGACTTTAAAGACTTTGTTCTTGTTTTTGTTACACTACGTATCAAGAAAGCAGCTTACTAAAATGAACAAAGGACATTAAGACATTAACCATTGCACTGTTACATTATATCATAACTGTATTAAATACTTAATGTTGACTCAATAAACGATGTCCATGATTTCAATGAGTTAAATATATTTCCTAGTTAATATTGTACAATATCATATATCCTTTTCATCATCAGAGAAATACACGTGCTCTCGTGCTTGTTTCTGGACAAATTCCTCTTTTGTTTCATAAGTGGGTTGTGCATATTGCGTAAAGTAGTCAGTATTGAAATTGACAGGGGCGTCGTATCCGTACCCGCTGTCATTTACTACGCTACCATTTTGCTGCACTGTCCCATTTTGATTTCCATAATTATAATGGTCGTCATAATTCCCATAGCCATAATCATCCGTTTTGCTCTGTATGGTGCCGTTCTGTTGTGAAAAGCTTTCTTTGTTTAAGCTCCCGTACGAATTGAATTTATCCTCTCCTTTAAGCGTATCTTCCGGTTTCCACGCGTTGTCTTCCGGTGGTGGATCAGCCCACTCCTGTTTATCACCGGAAGCGAACACAGCATAGAACGCAACCCCAGCAAAATGGACACAGCTGGCTATGATAAAGACGCGCTCCCAGTCGTCTGCAGTCTGTATTATAAATCAATTTATAGATTATTTTTATTGTGGTGAATGACAGAAATTTAGACAATCTGAGATTATCAATTTTATACGGTGTTCTATTATTATTTTTATAACATGATATTTTCGAATTACTTGCTGTTTATTTTTTAAAACGAAAATAAAAGATTACTTTTCATACACATGTCAACTTTATTTAGTAATAGGATTTTATTACATGAAATGAATTTATTTTCAAGCAATGTTCGTACATATTTTTCTTAAGAATAATTATAGTATATTTCAGATATATACACCAAAGGGAAATAAATCGTATTCAGCATATCTTCAACCTTTTTATTTGTTTGATGTGTTTTAGATGTTAACTAACCTCGTGTTTGGTCAACTGTTCTGTGACAATAGGGCACAGCATTCCGGCAATTGTTCCAAACCCATTACTAAAGCCCATCAATATACTAGCATAACGAGGGGCTATATCTAAGTGGTTTACATTGAATCCTGAAAAATATCACAAAACAAAAATCTTCCATATCAAGTGTTGTTGATGGTATTGTTTAAATCAAACACGAAAATGAAGTAAAAACAGCTGCATGCATTACAGAAACAAGAACCGGTTGAACCGGGTGATGCTCCCCGAGAAGTTTTTGGACACAGGAGAGTATAAAAAAATGAAAATTGCAAAAACTCCAAAATTAGGCAAGGCGGAGTTATGTTTTTTTGCACTGCACTTCTATTCAATGAGATCTATCTATCTATAAAGTTTCCTGATGATATCTCTTATAGTTTTAGAGTTATGTCCCGGGTACAATTCAAAGTGTAAAAATGAACAAAGGGCAATAACTCCAAAATTAGACAAGGCTTTGTTTAGGTTCTTTAAGCATTGCAGTTCTATCAAATGATTTCTAGCTACCTACACAGTTTCATGTTGATATATCTAATAGTTTTAGAGTTATGTCCCGGACAAAAGTAAAAAAGTAAAAATAAACAAAGGGCAATAACTTCAAAATAAGGCAAGGTAGAGTAATGATTCTTTAGCACTGCATTTCTACCCAATGAGACCTATCTATCTACAAGGTTTCATGTTGATATCTCTTATAATTTTAGAGAAATGTCCCGGACAAAGTTCAAAGTGTCAAAATGAACAAAGGACAATTACTCCAAAAGTAGGCAAGACCGTCTTGTGTTCTGCAAACCTACTTAATGAGATCTATCTACCTACAAAGTTTCATGTTGATACCTCTTATAGTTTTAGAGTTATGTCCTGGACAAAGTTCAAAGTGTGAAAATAAACAAAGGGGAATAATTAAAAGCATAGGCAGGGCAGAGTGACGGTTCTTGTGCACTGCACACCTACTCAATGAGATCTATCTACCTACAAAGTTTCATGTTGATACCTCTTATAGTTTTAGAGTTATGTCCTAGACAAAGTTCAAAGTGTAAAAATAAACAAAGGGGAATAATTCAAAAATAAGGCAAGGCAGAGTTACATTCCTTGTGCACTGCACACCTACTCAATGAGATCTATCTACCTACAAAGTTTCATGCTGATACCTCTTATACTTTTAGAGTTATGTCCCGGACAATGTTCAAAGTGTAAAATAAACAAAGGGGGATAATTCAAAAATTAGGCAAGGCAGAGTTACGGTTCTTGTGCACTGCACACCTACTCAATGAGATATATCTACCTACAATGTTTCATGTTGATACCTCTTATACTTTTAGAGTTATGACCCGGACAAAGTTCAAAGTGTAAAATAAACAAAGGGGAATAATTCAAAAATTAGGCAAGGCAGAGTTACGGTTCTTGTGCACTGCACACCTACTCAATGAGATCTATCTACCTACAAAGTTTCATGTTGATACCTTTTATACTTTTAGAGTTATGTCCCGGACAAAGTTTAAAGTGTAAAAATAAACAAAGGGGAATTATTCAAAAATTAGGCAAGGCAGAGTTACGGTTCTTGTACACTGCACAGCTTCTCAATGAGATCTATCTACCTACAAAGTTTCATGTTGATACCTTTTGTTGTTTCAAAGTTATGTCTCGGACAAGAAAAGCGGACGGACGGACGGAAAGACGGACGGACGGACAAGGCGGCGACTATATGCTCCCCCGAATTTTGCGGGCAGCATAAAAAATAATTCAATTAACAAATGACCTTTTCATAAAATTTATAAGTTTCTTAAAACCATTTATTGTTAACTCTAAGAAAATTCTTATTATCGGAGATGAACTAGAGATTAAAATCATTATATTTTAAACAGGAACCAAGACCTGGTTAATATCATGGCCGCCTAAGCCAAGTGGTTAGGTTCGTCAAGTTTAAATCACTCGGCTATCACCTCAGCGGGTTCGAATCTCGTCACGGACTTTGGAGTCTTTCATGTAACGATGCTATCCAGCTAGCTTGCGGTATGGCGAGCGATTTGCACTAAAGAATTGAAGATTTGGGAAGGAAGGTAGTATTATAAAATAGAAATGAATAATCAAAAGATAAATATATGAAAATACCTGATATTGCAAACCCACTGAATCCAACAGCAAGTGTGAGACACACAATGGCAGTGGTTGTGTTACGTGTAAAACCTACACCTAACAGGAAAACGGCCTCCATACCGAAACCTTTAATAATGTAAAAAAATAATATTTCCCAGAATTATGATACATAGGTCGTTTGTACTTTTACAAAATTAATCGTATTTTGCCAATTAATTTGAATTACTCTGAAATTTCATCGTGTGCATAAAACAGGTCAATGAAGTGGCTAATTCAGAGGTTACCTATCCCAACACACAATCATTATCAACGTAACGTTATATAACAAAACAACTAATAAATACATTTTTATTAGACTAAGGCGCATTGCTGGAAGTTGAATCTTGTTCTGCGCTTAGTACTCTTGCGAATCCCAGATGCTGTAATTTACTTGTTTCCTAATTTTGAGAAATATACTAACTACAATGAAATAAATGCCGACATGTCTATATAAATAATCGCTGAATACTGGTACAGGTAGTCCCTATCAATCCCTGTTATAATAATAATATACAAAAGTTTCTACACTATGAGAAAACTAACATTTTACCTCCACAGTTGAAGATTTTCCTAACAACTGTTGTAGAAAGTATACCTCGGCGGCGCAGGTAGTCAGCTATAAAACCTCCTATCGGAACAATAATCGCCATTATAAGATGTGGTAGGGCGGACAGAATACCACTCTATAAATAGAAATAAAGTCAAGCATTGTCAGAATAAACTTGATGAAACGTGTTTTTATTCCCGTCTTGATATGAAAGTTTAAATACTTAGCTTGTGTTTGTTTGGTCTTAACCCTTAATTTAAAGATCCTGAATGTTGTAATTAAGGTTGTTTCACATTTAAGTGAAAATTTATATATGTATATAATTATGCTTCTAAAACAATTTTCAAACATCGAGAACAGGTAAAATATGTACTGCAAATATTTGTCCACATTATATATAATCATTAAAATATATGCATTCATTTCCTATTGAAAAGTATGACTTAGACTTTATAGAAAATAAATTTCTAATTACCTCATTTTATTAAGTAAACATGAAATGTAAATTCGGTAATACCTTTACAAATAGTGCTCTTTGGAACTTACAATATTGATAACTTTTCATTTTAGCATTATATTTATGATATAAAACCATAAAAAAATAAGTTGTAGGATCTTTAACACTTTTTTGTCATATACATGTGTATATCGGCGGTCCGTGTATCTTTACCTGCTTTAATGGATAACTAACCAGTAATTATTTATTTCTTCACATGTGACCGACTGCTAATACCATAAAATTATGATGATGAAGCAGACGACCAATAGGATTAATGACCGAGATTGAGAAAGTTTAGCTCCATTTTACTATGAATTATTTCTACAACCGTTCAACATAATCTTATTACAATTTGATACAAACTTTGTGGAGAGTTGTTGGTATAAATAACTTGAAAAGTGATCTATATATGTTTACCTTTGACAAATCGAAGTCAAATACTTCATTAAAATAAGTAGGTTGTTCTATAATTAGCAGGTAAAATGTCCAACTTCTACAAAAATTTGCCACCATAATAGCAATTACTGGCATGGATTTGAAAAACTTTAACCATGGTGTCTTCATTTCCTGCAATAAAAAAATGAAATCGTCATTTATGCGTCAAAGATAAGATTTAATTGTCTTAAAGAGACATTATGCCTTCGAAATGAATACACTTTTCTCCTTTCAAAAGGACAACCGTTACATTTAGGTTTTGGAGTGTGTTTATCACCTGCCGAAAGTAGCGCTGTATGTAAATATATTTGTTATAAATTTTATAAAGGTAGCTAAATGTATACATATCTATAAATATACCTGATCACTATAACATAAAAACAAACATGTAATTGCTAATCGCAACTGAAGTGAAGGATTATTCATCTTGTTAACTTATGAGTAACCTCTTATAAACTATAATAGGACATCAACAATTAAACAGATTTCGAAATATAAAAAATGAAAATATTTCTAGGGCATAATGGGCCTTTTATTACTGAAACAATTTTGCCGCATATATTTAACATTATTTTCAGTTTATCACCTGTTTACCTTTTATAAGGTACAGTTCTTACACATTTTCTTTACAATTGATGTCTTCATTCAATGCAGAATTTCGATATACAACAGATAAGGTTATTAAAGAGGTATGAAGTTTCTCTGAAAAAGACACTTTGTTTACGTACCTTGCTCAACACAGATGTGTTCTCCCCAATACAAGTTTCAATATAAACGCGCTCATGTTCAGTTATGTAAGGATGATGGCCTGGTGTGTCAAATGCTAGAAACCACCACACGACTGCCCAAACTATACCCATAGCACCTGTCAACAAAGTTTAAAAAATGATATATTTTTTCTTTACGTCAGGATGTATTTAAAAATTTCGTTGTTTGTTATTGTTTTTTTGTTTTTGTTTTTTTTTGCTGTTTGTTTTTTTATTATGACATGTCTATAATATAAACAAAAGATATAAAACTGAACATGAAATGTTCAATATATCAAATAAAGGAACATACAATGCAATAATTAGTATTTCTTTTATTATATTATACTGATAAAAAGTATACTCCGTATACTACAGGTTTTGAGTATTCTATGCATGAATATATCTTACAAAAGTGCTATAAATTTCGTAGTCTAACTGAATACTGATACCCGGTTATGTTATACCCTAAAGATCTAGTTTTTTTTCTTATATGGTATTTTTCAAGGAGCTTCAAAAATTGTCCGAACACTTTCATAAGCAAATAAATATCAACATTTATCTAATTGTTGCATATCATTACATATATGTTGTAAATTATGAATTGGTTAAAACTTACTTTTTTGACCATCTTTTTTCCGATATTTTATGAAAATACGGGATTACAAGTATTAAAAGTCAATACTAATCGCAAATTGTTCAATGATAGGAAACAAATTTGACACACAAGTCTTGACTGTATTAATGTCGTGTTTTTATTGGCATTTGATAGAAGCAGAGCTATTGTTTATTGCTTTATAGGAGTTTTATTTGACAGAGGGTGCCTACAATACTGCGGTATAACAGACAGTGAGAAGAAGATTATTGAAAACAATGGAATTCATCAGTTTCTAAGAGACAGCGATCTAGAGACGTAATTGAAACTATCGAGTGCTCTCATCCCACAGAAACAGGACTAATATGATACTTGTTGAAGGCCCTTCCAGATTTAATTAAGACAACGAGACTTTGCATAACAACGATGATTCCAATAAACAACTTTGGGAATGCCACTGAACACATTCCTTTATCATTTTATTTGTAAAGAAAAAACATCATGTCATGTTACAAAATTAAAAAAACTAATTTAAAATTTAATGAAAAAAAAAACAGTTAATATTTAATGTAAAAAAATGTGTGATCCCTCGGAAGCATTACTCACATCAAAGTGACATGAAATTTGCAGACTCGGTTTGCTTGAGTCTGTGCATGAGGGATAATGAATGAGTGCAACACCCCCCCACCCCCCAGCACCGCGTTATAATTTTTTTACTCACCACCTTTAAAAGTGTTAATAACATTTACTACTTACCAAAGACATAGAATCCTGACTGCCAGCCAAAACTTTTGGTAAGTATACCAGACAATGGCATTCCTATAACAGCACCGGCATAGGATCCTGTAACAACAATTGTGCAAGATTCAAAATACAAATCATCCGTTACTTTATATTGTATTGCAGATTGTATCATAAATATCACGATGCTCAAGTAAAATCAATTTAAACTTAAATTTGAATGAGAAATTTAGATTTAGTTAAAAAACAAAGTGTAAATTTTTAAACAAAATATTACAAAGAATATTCAACATCACAATTCAATCATTAAATTAAAGTTTACCACAAAAAGCAGTCGTTGCTAGTTTGGATCTTTCAAGGGGTGGGGCCCAGTGACTCCAAATACCGTGACAGGCTGGATATGTTACACCCTAAAAACAAACATAAAAATATATCACATAATTTTTGGATTTTTTAAAGAAAAATTACGACATCGTCAAAGGTTCTTCAAAGTCTGCTTTTTTTCAAATGTTCATAATGTATTGGTCCACTAACTAACTATACTATATTTGATTTACTGTGCAACATTCTAAAATCAACTTGACAAAACACTAGTCGAATGCATTTAGCCACAAAATATAACTAAAGGTAAAATCCATTTTACATGAGATCTATGTTCTTTCAAATCGTCCCTTGAAAATCTGGCAAATAAATGAAAAGTAGATATACAGTCAAACCAGTGTTAAAAACAAACTTCGAATAAAGACTACCCTGCAAATAAAGACCACTCGATAACACCTTCATTGATAAAAATACAATAAACTCCGAATAAAGACCACTTGTTTATAAAGACATTGCATGGTCTCTCCTTAAAGTGACCTTAATTCACTGTTTGACTGTATTGTATAGGCTATCACCGTTAAATTAAAAGCTAAAAGTATATGAAACATTCTTGTAGTTATAATAAACTCACCTCAACTAGACCTTGAAGAATTCTTACACCCATCACTAAGCCATAATGAACTTGGGCGGCTCCGGGAATAAAGAGATTTAAGCATGCTGATATCCCGATGGCTAGACCAAAAATTCTGAAATAATATCACAAAAGCAATAAACAAAATTTTGTTTGAAGGCATATTTATACCCTAAAATGGTTTCTCAAACGTGTTTTCAAAGAAACTAAATATTACCTAAAAGTATCACATTCTTATCAAGCTTAATGTACTTGACAGTCCTACCGAAAGCTTAATTCTTAAATAATAGGATTTCTCACGATTTCCCTTTCATCCTGAAACATCCAAAAGCGCCATATTCAATGTTAACTGATAAAAGCAGGCTTGAATCAGAAATATGTCATTCTAGATTAATCTGAAGAAAACCTCCAGGAAATTGTCATTAAATGATTTAGACAGGTCTTATCGTTAATGCAGACTATGTTAATATGCCCATCATTTTCCCTAGACTGACTTTTATATTTGTTGAATAGAAAACTATAATAATATAACATGTACATATCAGGAAAATGTTTCATAAAGGCAGAGAATACTGTGTAATATGTATATGTCAAACGGTATTTATAAGCGGAGACTTTTATTGTCGACAAAAAAGGAAATATGGTGAAACTGAACGTTGTATTAGGAGGAACAATGAGCATGTCATGAAAAATATTGTTTTGGTAAATTATTCGTGTAGGTCAATTTGATTACATTCCGCAACGGGCACTGATCTTATACTAACAAAAATACAATATAATCTAGAAATGCCGTACAAAACTTAATCGCTTTCAAACATATATTTTCGCAGTGTTGGCCCAAATGACAAACGTATAATAAAATCAAGACATGTAATTGGTGTCGATTTGTTCCCTATAAAATATTTAGATATTCATACAAATTTGATAGGCAAAACTGGCAAAACCTTCTTCAATACATGTTTAATTGTAATACCGTTAAAACCAAACAAAAACTAGTCAATTCTAACAGCAGAATGAATTAAATCTGACATGGTTAGTACTTACCTCGAGGCTGGTAGTCTTGAGGCTAGGTAACCTCCGGGGACTTGTGTTATTATATAACCCCAGAAGAAAGAACTGTCTACAACGCCTATAGTCTCCGGAGTCCACGTAAATTCAGGTTGCTGATAAAAATCAATATAAAAATAATATACATGTATATACATAATATGTGAATTGTGAATATACGGTTTCAAAATATACTATTTCAAACGCAATCTATCTTACAACTTGTGATGTTAGATGTAATCCTTTATTACTAGTCGCCTTTGTTTACTGTGTGTATATGCTTAATCTTTTTTTCCTCGAAATTATAAGTAAATAATGCAAAATTTCTATGAAAGTGAAGACTAAAATTATATGTCATATGTTGCGATTCGGATTGGAATATCCGTCCAAAGGGGGACCCGCCTATTTGTTGGTATGAGGCTTGCCGTATTTTCTCTGGTTATCTACCACAATCCATTATATTTTGAATTCTTTACCTTGAAAAAACAATTTTCCATGGAAATTTAAGTCATTACACCCGTAACTATTTTCTTACAACAGCGTATGAAATTAAACCTTCATTCATAACTGTGAAATAACGTCATCCTCAGCATTCTCCAAACCAATGCTAGATGAAATTTCCGGCATGGGTAAACAAAATGGAAATGCTAGTCTGATATGCAAGATATAACATGTGGTCATGATAAATTGATAATGATACATACATTTAGTAGTCCGTCACCATTCTCGTCGTATGTCTCATTCTTTGTCATTCTTACAATAGCTACACCCATATTGCATCTTATACCGAATGAGATCATAAAACCAATGCTGCTGAGAATTGCCATCTGATATCTTCTTGCACAGAAATCACATCTGCATAACCATGACACCTGCAGACAAGATATATAATATGACTTATGAATGTTTCATTTCATAATACTCTAAATGCAATTACACGTTTATATTTCATATTTAGGCGTTTTTTTTTTGTTTTTGTAGCGATACATTGCATCTCTACGTATATTTGAAGTCCTAAATTAATCGGTTATGCTCGTTTTGTACATAAGTTGCAAATTTTAATTCAGAAAAGGCTGGCATAGACTGAAACCAATTTAGCAACAAATCGCTTAAGATTAACTGAAAAACGAATTCAAGAAAATATGTGTTCATTTTAGAAGCAGTTCATTACTTTCCTGGTTTAATCTTACTAATGTGTCCAATTAAACTAAAATAAAAAAATAAAAGCAGGAGCAACATGCAAATGCTAACCGGCACCCAGGTATAAAAGCTCTTATCATTTCCAATATTTCTGTATACATACAAATTTTTCGTAAAATCGATCCAACTGAAATACAAAATAATCATATTTCTTCACATCGAATTCCTCTCAAAAATTAATTAGAACTTCTGCAAAATGTTCACCAGTGATTCAAACAAAGAGTTTACTGACTGTTAAATATTTGGATCAGTTTATCCTCCAAATTAATTATTTTAAGATGTTCAGCGGTAAAGGTCTATATTTTGATAAAAGACCACTATATCATCGATATTCATAAATTTGTCTTGAAACATGAAGAATTAATTCAACCGTTATTTTTTGACTTGCCGTCAAGAAAACAAAACAATACTTACATTATCAAATGGGCATCTTGTACACCATCTCGGACAGTTTCCACTTGGTTTATCGTCTCTGATCTCTTCTTCGTCAACCTCTCCATAAGCTTCGTCCAGTTCATCATATTTAGCAAACCCCTTTTCTTCAAACCCCTTTTTGAATGGACTGAAAGAGAGAAGTTATACTAAATAAGAAAAATAATCAAGAAACTATTTACCCTACTGTTATTTATTACCGGTATTTAAACTAAGATGAAAAAAATGTTAAATGTATTTCATGAAATAATTTATAACCTCAATGAATAAAAGAGCAAAATTAATGCACACTATTTTAATTTCGTTATAACATATTTAATTTATGAAAGAGCATTTAGCAAGTACTGTTAAACAATTAAAGTAGGAGTCAACGACCACCAATCGATCAAAAACAGATATTAAACAATTTAGGCATTCAAAATATTTCGTCAACAAATATAAGATCATTGGAATGCGCTTTAATTTCCTGACCAGATAAAGGCCAGCTTTGTTACATATCTTGTAGCTTTGATTTGTCTGAATATCATCTAGTCTACCGGAAATAAGCTTCTGAAGTTTGTGTAGCTAGTTTGCCATAGAAATCGGCAATTCATAGGATTATCCCTGCTAAATTTTAAGCACAATTTTAAATATAAAGTGGTATTGTTGCATTTTGCATTTTACAAATAAAAACTTGATGATTATCATCTCACAGGTTCATATAGTTACACATTTACTTCGCATACACAAGTATTCCGAATTACCTCAACTAGTGAAAGTATTTTCATTCTGATAGTTATCGGTGATATATTTTGATCTGTATATCTTTTATTATATTATTGTGGTGTTTGAAATCATGAAAAAGGAAAGAGCATGGTAGTTTCCTGCAGATAAACGTTGGATATACTTAAAACTGGGAAATGTCATTTTTGCAAAAAGTCGAATGAGTGGCTGAAGAAAAATTGTGACCGGACGCACTTCTCCCAAAATTGTTTTTTTTATTTCTCAGTTTTACGCGTGGTAAAATTTATTATTCCGCCTCCTTTTAACAAGGCAATGATATGTTACTTTATTTGACAACTGTTATCATTTTCATTCATTCTTTTGAAAATAATTATCCCTATCGATAAAAACGGTAACATCAAAACATTGTGTCATTAGGTCTGAAGGTCTAACAAAATAGAATATTTTTTAAATCTAGAAAAAAATTGTAACCTAGTATACAAATCTAATAAGAATATTCATATTTCATCGAAAAAGAAATAAATCATGTTAATACATGTTTGTAATCTTTAATTAATTTAAGTATTTGTTGTTTTTTATATTGTTTTTTGAACATGTTAACCTTATGTTACAGAAATCCAATTCAAATACATTTTTCACAAGATTATTTGACTTTCATAACAGTTATCTTCAAATAGAAACAAATTGATGAAATTGAGCGAGTTGCCTTTATTCATTATCCCATCAATCAAGGACTGAACATTTTGATGACAAACTATATATGCTTAGACTTCTACAACGAAATTGATTTCAGATAATAGACCTTAAGAAGATTTATATGCTTACTTTGGCGGCTTGTCAAAATTAAGTGAATGAAAGCAGAGCTTCTGACGTTTGTTAATTTGTAATAAAATAGGCTTAATAGAGCATTTGTAGTGAAAATGATTAAAATTGAGAGAAAAAAAAAAGAATCCGTAAAGAACGCTAAAAACGACAAAATTGAAAATGTTTCAGTCTTGCTTTGATTAAACTTCTTCATGGACTGTACTGGAAAGTGCGAGCTAACTTCCACACCCTCTATCATGGCTTACGAAGAATCCAATATTTAAAAGGAAAATATAAAAAAAATAAAAATTTAGTAAGCAAGCTAATTTCTACGCCCTCTATAATGTCTTATGCATAATCTTATATTTAAAAGGTAAATATGAACATTTAAATTTTGAAAAATTTAAACAAAAGAGCAATACAATTTGCATGTTTTACTGTCAAAGGAAGACGAAAATATTATTCTTGAAGCCGAATGTATTCGAAAAACGAATTTAAATATGTGTACTAAATAACTAGACTTGTTAAAATGTTTGCATCTCACTTGTTAACAAGCATTTTATATATATATATATCGCAATTAAACCATAATCTTAAATATGTCTAAGTTTAGAAGACATATGAAATATATTTGAAGAATTAAACCTAACAAATGTAAAGACAAGCATGAGCATATATACATAGTCATATATACAATTATAATAAAAATTGCATGTGAAAACATTTGTTATAATCATGCCATAGCGCAAAATATGCCATAGTTGTATTTTAATTTTTTAGCAAGAAGATTAAAGAACTTAACAGCAATAAATAGGCAACGGTAAAGAGATTATCATTTAATATGATTTGTTACAAATTTTTATCTTCTAAATTATAAATGAGCCGTGTCACGACAAAACCAACATAATGGGTTTGCGACCAGCATGGATCTAGCCATGAGTGAAGTGTTATAACAATAGACCCTTACAAAGCTACATATCTTAAATGTACTTGATAAAAAAGATTAATAATGAAGACTGTATTAAGAATATTGACGGACAAAAAAGGCAAGATGTACCAAATAGAGATTAGCATGAAGAAGGGTTAGCAAAAAATATGACCGGTTCAAATTTCGATTCACAGTGCCATTGATTACATAATCATAACTTTGTTGTATTTACAATTCTATTGTAATAATCAGTGAGAAGTTTCCTACCAACACAAATTATTTTGTCATTTTTACATTCAGAAATCCCCATAAATATATGAAATTTTGTACTTATAATAACTGCTAAATAATAATTGAAATAATGTTACTTTTAATTATTTTCTTGCATTATTTTTTCTATAATAGCAACCATAATATAAAACTGTAAAATAAATAAGAGTGCGCTATGTTTATGAGTAAAAAATGGAAAGTATTTTAAAAATTGTGTAAACATGCAGATTCCCTGTATAGTAGACTTTAAAGTAAGCTAATTTATTGAAAATAAAACCAGTTTTGAAAGCATGTTAATGTACGAGAAAATTAAAAAAGTCGAGTAAAAAAGAAAATTTAAATAAATATACTTGATCCAATATAATAATTAAAAAGTTAATATAGCACGTGATTTACTAAATTATGATACATACGCTAAGGCATCATCTCCGCTGAAACATAGTCGTGTACAAAATGAAATCGTTAAATAAGTTGTAAGTTAAGTACTTGACGATCGGATCCCTATCAAACAGTGGTAAAATTTGTCATTTAATACAATTTTCACTTTTGCGTAATAAAGTTGGATAATTATGTTATCTCTACATCCTAAACTTAATTTTCTTTTCTACAAATCAATGTTGTCCCATTTTTTCTTAAAAAGGCAAACGGTATAATGTTAGATAACAAGATAGATTCTGTATCGTTTTGTTCATTAGAATTTTTGTGTAACTTTTCTTTCTGTTTTAACTTTTGAGTAGTGGCGGCATGACCGAGTGGTTAACGCGTCGGACTAGTAATCTAATAATCGCTAAAGCATATTGGTCTTTACTGAATAAATACTCGGGAGAAAGAAATAAAATTATGTCTAATATTAGTGCAGAGGCTTTTTATGAACATTTCAGTAAATTGAATGAAAATAATGAGGGAGAGAATGTTGATTTTGATATAACCAATATATCAGATTATAAATTTGAATTGAACTCCACTATAACTAACAGTGAAATATTGAATGCAATTAATGGTTTAAGTAATAATAAAGCTTGTTCTTTACATGACAATATATTGAATGAGTATATCAAGTACTCTAAAGATATTATGCTGCCTGTTCTAAATAAATTGTTTAATATCATTTTTGAATCAGCATGTGTCCCAGAAGTCTGGTGCAAAGGAGTTATTTTTCCTATTTATAAAAAAAGGGTGATGTAAATAACCCAGACAACTACAGAGGAATCACTATTTTAAGTTGTTTAGGAAAATTATTCACAAGTATTCTTAATAACAGACTTAATACTTTTCTAGAAAATTCAGGACTGTTATGTGAAGAGCAGGCTGGTTTTCGTAAAGATTATGGAACTGTAGATCATATATTTACTTTGAAACTGTTAGTTGATTTTTATCTAAGTAAGAATAAGAAATTATATTGTGCATTTGTGGATTATAAAAAAGCTTTCGATTCTGTAAATAGAACTTTTTTATGGATGAAACTTTTAAAGCACAATGTAGATGGTAAAATGCTAAGGGTAATTTATAGTATTTACGACAAAGCTAAATCCTGTGTAAAAAGCACTCAGGGTTTATCAACATATTTTACAAGTGCAACAGGTGTCCGTCAAGGTGAAAACCTATCACCCATTCTTTTTTCTGTCTTCCTGAATGATCTTGTAGAACATATCTCAAATACGTATAATGGTTTAGATTTACTTTCGCAGTCTATTAAAAATGTACTAAGTGATGGTATAGTAGAGGTTTACTTTAAATTGTTTTTACTGCTTTATGCTGATGATACTGTAATTTTTGCAGAATCTGCATCTGATTTTCAATTAGCACTAGATGCTATGTCTACTTATTGCGAGTTATGGAAACTTCAAGTAAATACAGCCAAAACTAAAGTGGTGATTTTTTCAAAAGGGAAATGTAGAAATACTCCTTCTTGTTAATTTAACAATGCCATACTTGATATTGTTGAGGATTTTAGCTACTTAGGTGTTAAGTTTAATTATAATGGTAAGTTCAATAAAACTACTAAATACCTGTGTGACCAAGCTAGAAAAGCTATGTTTGCTGTACTTAAAAAATCCAGAACTCTTTGTCTTGATATAGATTTACAGTTACAACTTTTTGACTCCATGGTCACTCCTATTTTGTTATTGTTATATGGTGTAGAAGTGTGGGGTGTAGGTAACATTGATATTGTAAAGCAATTTCAGTTGAAATATCTTAAACTCATAATGAGTGTCAAAAAGTCCACTCCTAGTGTTATGATATTTGGGGAGCTTGGTACTCTTCCAATTGATTGTGTCATAAAATGTAGAGTCCTAAATTTTTGGTGCAAAATCATTAATTCGAAACCTGATAAAGTATGTAATATTATGTACAAACTAATGTTTGAATTGGACCGTCAAAACGTATATCTCTCCCCATGGATAGTTTATGTTAAAAAGTCATTGCAAGAGCTTGGTTTTGCTGAATACTGGATAAACCAATCTGTGTTATCACCTTCTTATTTTAAAAATATTGTCAAATCTAGAATCAAAGACCAATATGTTCAAATGTAGCATGAACAAGTGTTTAACTCTAGCAAATGTATCACTTACAGAATTTTTAAATCCTCATTTGAGTTAGAAGCCTATTTTAAACTTTTACCTAGAAATCTAGCCTTATCGCTGTGTAGGTTTAGATGTAGTAACCATAAACTCCCTATTGAAAAGGGTCGTTATATAGGTTTGGATCATGATTTAAGATATTGCCATCTCTGTCCAAATAACTCTTTATTAGGTGGTGAGTTTTATTATATTTTTCAATGTCCTTATTTTAACATTTATCGTAGAAAGTACTTGCCCATTAATTTACGAAGAGGTAACATGTTTAATTTACAGCAATTATTTCAAAATACTGATAGAACTGTATTAATCAAACTGTCTGTTTTTACACAAAGAATAATGTCTATTGTGAAATAATGTTTACCACCTTCTAGTCAGTATCTATTGCCAAATATTGTCTTTATTTTCATTATTTACTTTTATCTATTTTTATGTATTTTATTTATTTTTTTGTTATTTTTTCATCTTTAAGGTCTCATGACATTTGTAATCGCATTGTGACACTTCCTATTTAATTTTTGTGGAACTAATTGTACCGGCGTGGTGTGGTTGCAGTGTGGGGCTTTATGGGCCCCATGTTGTGGTTACACCATGTCGCTGCATCACTTCATTTGCGTTTTGGTCAGGAACTTTCATTGTGCGGTTGCATTATGTATCATTCTAGTCACTCATTTGTAAAGTCATTCATAATTTAAGAATCTCTAGTCTTATTTTTGTATTTATCATGCAAATTATTTTGTCTCAAGCTTTATTTACACATCTGTATTATTTTGTTAATGCTCATTTGTTTGTGAAATTTTACTGTTTATAAAACTGATGCCCATATGGGCCTAGTTGAAATAAAAAACTTGAAACTTGAAGCTAGTCGCATGGGTTTAAACCCCGTCAGGGGCCAGTCGTTGTTCTTTACACTCATTGTTCAGAACTGGTTGGTTCGAGGAACGGATTCGAAAGTGTGTCTATAAGCTTATAGCTTCCTACACGATCGAACTAAAATAAATTCTGTATAAACCAAGTCTCGTGTAATCTTCCTTTCCAGAGCTGTAAAAATATTGTTCTTATTCAGAAAAAAATGTTTAATAGAAGGTGGAAAAGTATAACTTGCCGCAAGAAGTAAATATATTAAATTAAAAATACTAAACGTGCATGGATCATTAAATGACCAAAACATTATTTTTAAGACTGACACATTAAATAAAATATTTGATTACATCTTTTTATTCATGGATGAGTACAAAGACGAATAAGAAACCTTTACCGAAATGCAACCGAAACAAAATCAAGCCCCAAGGCATCACCGAAAAGGGAACTTATCATGGTACCGAACATGAGAACAAAAATAAGTATAAAAATGACGAAGCAGGAGGAGGGGGCTTAACTCAATGTTCAGAAAGCATTGTTGAATGAAATATAAAGTTATCGATATAAAACAAAATCTTTAAAATGATAATATTTCGCTTGATGATTATGCAAGTCATTGGACGACAAGACATGTTTACTATGAGAGTATAACCTTCACAGTTAACAGAGGTCATTGATTGGTGTCTAATTATAGCCTATCGGAATAACTTTAAAGCAATAGTAAAAATGCTTAAAGCACTCAATTATTTACTGAGTATTCCCACATGAATGATTTCAAAAGAATACATTATTGATCTATCTTCACTCTTGTTTTCTAAATATAAATTTATTCTGGAATTGTTTTGAGTTTAAACGACGAAATTTACCAAACATCTCTTAACTGACTAATAAAGCTAGTCAAAAACATTAATGGGTAGCCACTATATGACATTTTATATTTGATCATGTAAAAGCGTCTTTCTTTACCACCATATTGTGTGTGGGGGGCTATGTTGATTAAACTCATCATGACCGAAAAGAACTTAAACATCGGAACTACTAAAACTGTTAGTCATTACCTAATACTGTAGACCCTCTCTTTGCGTCGAACGGCTTACAGAGCAATGTTGCAACATTTAAATTGCATCAAAGATTGTAAATCTTTGCCGTTACTTAGAAAAATGTAGGCCTCAAATTGTTGGTATTCTATGACATTTAAACCTAAAATACTCTCATTGTCTGTGATAATATTTTCAAATTTGACACCATTGTTGCTAACTGATGGACTTCATAAAGGTGATTCCAAATTACTACGGGTGTTCCTTTTACAAAGCATCTTGGCCAATATCATGGTAAACTGATTAGTATCATTGACAGCACAAGTTTTTTTCCTATGGTATACATTACTGGTGTGAATGCAATCATTCAAAATCACATGTATACATTTAGCTGTGACAAAACAAAAACGTTTTCGCGATTCAGTAAGAGCATTGTCTTGAGTAATCCATTGTTTGGTTCTGCTAATGGTTAATTCTGATTTATTATGAACAAATCGATTTGTGTTGCCACCTGCGAGAAGAAGCAGATTCCTTTAAGTTAATATTACTCAAAAACACTATCGCAAGATAAAGAATGACTTGTATTTCTGTTTAATAATATACTTTCAGCACAAAATTGTGTTTTTGTTTTGATGGGGCTTAGGTCAGTGTTTTGTAAGCGTTGTTAAATGGAATACAAAGTACAAATCTAAAAATACTAGGGGCGTTGGCGGTAGCTGGCAAATACCACTGCAATCTGTCGTATAACGGAGAAAGAACTCACGGATGTTACATACTTTTAATATACAAATACAAACACACATGTGAACGAGTGGAATACCAAAGCCGACTCCCACTCTGACATTTGAGAATAGTATATATAATATCAACCTGTCCTAAGGACATTTTATAATGTATATAAATACACACGTTTTAGAGTTACATATATAAATCATCCTGACATAAGGTCAGTCC